GAAAGAAAGAAAGAAAGAAAGAAAGAAAGAAAGAATGAATGAATAGCTAGGACAATTCCACGAATGAGACAAGATGGGTCTGTGCTATGGACCCAACTTGCCCATCTGGCAGAGAGGCACCTACCAAGAGGAACACTTTGCTGTCAGGCTTGACCTTGTGTTTCTCCATGTACTTTATGAGGCTACTGTTGGCATACCTGCAAGAACATAATAATCACACATCACTGGAAACACTCACACTTTTTTTTCAAATAATGTTTATTATTGAAGTACAGTTTACACAATAAAACTCCCAGATTGGTTTTCCTATAAGGTACATGTTTAGGCCATTGTCTTTTCTAATGATTAGTGAAAGAATACGTAACCAAATATTGGTAAATGTGTGCAGTGGGAATTGTTAAACACTGTATGTAAGAGTTTCTATTGTTACAATCTCTTTGGAAAATAATTACACATTAACCACTAGAGCTGAAAATGTGAACAACCTATAACCTAGCAATTCCCTTCCTAGGTACATACTCTAAGAGATTCCTTTGTGCATGTGTATCACACGATGTGTGAACAAGAATGTTCTTAGTATTCCTGTAATAGAAAAAACTGTAAACAACACAAACGACTACCAATTAAAGAATGGGTACATTGTTACATATTCACAGAATGGAATATTGAACAATAGTTAAAATGAATACAGAGGTTGAGTGGGAAATAAAAGAAAGAAAACTACAAAAGAAAATACAAACTGTACTATAATTTATATGAAGATAAAAGATATATTAAACTGAGCAATAATTTATTTGGAATACATAATACCTGTAGCAAAACTATAATGAAAAATGTGGAATGACAAATACAAATTCAGAATATATGTTCTTTCCTATATATGAAATATTTCACATTTAAAAAGGTCAAAAAATAAGTAACATATATGTTCATGGTAGAAAATTTAGAGAATATAGAAAAGTATAAAGAAAAAAACTGAAATCACTCGTAATCAAGCCACTCAATGATTAAAATAAACAAAAAAACACTGCCGAGATTTTGCTAATTTTCCTTTGACATTCTTGCCATGCTTTTATATATATGACACAGACACAGAGGGATTTCTGTTTTGTTTTGTTTTTATAAAATTGGGATCACACTATACAAATTGTCCTCTTTTCACTTAATATTGTTTCATAAACATTTTTCCTTGTTCAGTGCTCTCTAAACTACTCATTTGTAGTGGTTCTATATGTATATTCCTAGTGTTACTGACGTTGTTTGTTTCACAATAGTTAAATACAGGTCTTTGTAGGTTAATCTGGTCCACATGGTAGGGAAACAATACTGCACATAGGTGGGAAACAGAGATCCCTTCCAGACTCTGACTCAGTCATTTACCAGTTGTGTGACCTTGGGCAGTCAGTTAACCCTTATGAAAGCTTTAGCTTCCTCATCTGAAAACTAAAGATTACAATTATACCTCTCTTATAGAGTGTTGTGGGGACCATATGAGAAAATGTAGGTAAGGGCTCAGCACCACACCTGACACATAATAAACACTTGGTTAGCTACCTGTAGCTGCTCTGATTGCTTCCACAGGATAAATTCTTGGGTTTATTAGGTCAAAGAGTATGTGCATTGCAAAGCCAGTTTTATGTGCTCTAAAACCTTGCTACATGAACCTGGCCCTCAGATCAGCAGCATGGGCCCCGAGAGCCCACATTAGAAATACAGATTCTCAGGCCCCATCCCAAATTCTGAATCAGAATCTGCATTTTTAACAAGGTCTCCAGGTGATCTGTAGGTATATTAAAGTTTGAGAAACATTTTTCTCACCGGTGGCATACAAGGAAGAGGGCCCATTTTATCATACCCTTGCCAGCCCTAGGTATGTTCATTTTTAAAATCTTTGCCATGTGAGCCTGGGTGGCTCAGTCAGTTAGTGTCTGACTTCGGCTCAGGTCATGATCTCATGGTTCGTGGGTTCGAGCCCCGCGTCAGGCTCTGTGCTGACAGCTCAGAGCCTGGACCCTGCTTCAGATTCTGTGTCTCCCTCTCTCTCTGCCCCCTCCCCACTTGAACTCTCTCTCTCTCTCAAAAATAAATAAAAATTAAAAGAATAAAAATAATAAAACAAAATCTTTGCCATGTATATATAAAATTTTTTCGGGGCTCCTGGCTGGCTCAGTCAGTAGAGCATGCAACTCTTGATCTCAGAGTTATAAGTTTGAGTCCCATATTGGGTATAGAGATTGCTTAAAAATAAAATCTTAAAAAAATTAAAAAAAAATTTTTTTCCTCCAATACTAGGAACATTTTTATTAGCAAGGTAACCACTAAATTTATTAATGAGAAGAGATTTTAAAGTTTATGCAGAAATGTAGTTTGTCTACATACATGTCTTTGGTCTTTCTGTCGAATCATTGATTTCTCTGGGTTAACTCCAGATTCTAAGTTATTTGTTTCTATCATAAGATCAGACCGTGCTTATTGTAACATTCAATTTAAAGTCAGCTTCTAGATTTCCTTTTAATCCTATTTTCACGTTGCCTTCTACTTAGCTAATAGAAGCTGACACTTTAGAAAGATTACAGAAACTTCTATCACTATTCTTCCTGATTCACTTTAAGAGTAATTTTTTTGGTTCTTTTCATCTGATATAATGAAAACAAGTTATTTTTCCTTTATTTGAGATAATTTTTTCTGGAAAAAAAATTTTTTTTAAATGTTTATTTATTTTTGAGAGACAGAGAACGAGCAGGGGAGCAACAGAGGGAGAGAGAGACACAGAATCCGAAGCAGGCTCCAGGCTCTGAGCTGGACTCAGACACAAAGCCTGACGCGGGGCTCAAACCCACGAACCGTGAGATCATGACCTAAGCCGAAGTCAGTTGCTCAACAGACTGAACCATCCAGGTGCCCCTGGAATTTTTAAATAATATTTTACTTCAGTGGCTTGTATGTACTACTACATTAGATTTAGCTAATTAAAAAATTTTTTTTAATGTTTTATTTATTTTTGAGAGAGAGAGAGACAGAGACAGAGTATGAGTGGGGGAGGGGCAGAGAGACAGAATCCAGGAAGCAAGAGCCTGACATGGGGCTCGAACCCATGAACCACGAGATCATGACCTGAGGCAAAGTCAGACACTTAAACAACTGAGCCACCCAGTCGCCCCTAGATCTAGCTAATTTTTAATAAACTCCTTTCATCTTATGTATTAGTAGCTGCTTTCATGGGGGTACAATTGTTTGCTTAAGACATATGGGCTCTTATTGCTGAGCTTTTCCTATGACTTTTCTGAGTTTCATTTATCTTTTAAAGCTCTCCTTTTATTTCTAGTTACTGTAAACACTAATTTTATGCGAAAATTTTCCTTTGGTCTTTAAACAATAAGTGTTCACTGCCGACATTAATATTCTCCATCTTTTATATTATTAGCATGTCTTCAATTACTTGAACCACTTTCATATAATGTCCATTTGACAGTAACTAATGAGCACGTACTAAGTACCAGGCCCTGGGTATACATATAATGATGGATAAGAAAGACATAACCCATACTATCTAGAGGGAAGGCAGACAAGTATTCAAAAGCTAACTGTAGGGGCGCCTGGGTGGCTCAGTCAGTTGAGTGTCCCACTCTTGATTTCGGCTCAGATCATAGAATCAAGCCCCACATTGGGTTCTGTGCTGAGTATGGAGTCTGCTTGGGATATTCTCTCTCTCTCTCTCTCTCTCAAAAATTTTTTTAAAAAAAGGTAACTGTAGGGCAAAGTCATCAGTGCTGAGAGAAACAGCCCAGGATGCAAGAGAGGAGTACGTGACTCAGACCTAGAAGGTCAAGGGAGGCCTCAGCAGGCAAGTGATGCCCAAGGCAAGACCTAAAGGACAAGTAGAAAGGAAAAATAGGAGTTGATCTGAGGAAATGAGTGGGAGTAAAGTATATCCTAGACTGAAGAAACAGCATGTGTAAAAACCCAGAGGTCAAAAAAAAGCTCTGGGTTTTCAAGCTTCTTAAAGAAATTCATGCTGTCTAGGCTGTAGAATACAAAGTGGACAGTTGTGTAGGAGATGAATTTGGTGATGTAGAAGCCAGAGCTCTGTAAGCCATACTAAGGAAGTGAGAGCAATAGTGAATTGAGAGCAGCGAGGAGACCAACATGATCAAATTTGCTTTGGGCAATGACTGTGGTATAGACAGTGAGTTGTAATAAAGACTGGAGGTAGAAATACCACTTGGGAGGCCACTGCAGGACACTAAGCGAGAGAGAGAGAGGTCTAGACTGTAATAGTGGCAGAGTAGATGGAGAGAAATACAAAGAACTGACTAGATTTACTAGTTTTTTGGATCCTGCAGGGTAACATGGAAGAGAAGGCGATAAAAGAAGGATCTGGGATGTCAGGTCTTGGGCTTGAACAACTGGGTGAATCATGGAGTCGTTTCCTAAGATTGGAAATACAGCGGGAGGAAGGTATGGGAGGATAGATGATGAGTTCAATTTTGGACATTTAAGTTAACGTATTTATAGAAATTTCAGGTTGGGATTCCATGAGGCAATTAGACAAATGGGTCTGAAATTTGGAAAAGGGATCTGAGTCGGATGCATAAACTGGGAATTATTAGCATCATCGATGGTAAATTGTGGCCAATAAGATCAGAGAGACTGCCCGGGACAATGTCCAGAGTGAAAAGACAGCCCAAGACAGAACCTTGAGCAATACCAGTGCCATCTTTAAGAGAGAGAGACAGGAAAAAGACCCCACCAAGGACTGTGTAAAAGAGGGGCCAAAAATGACAAGTGCCATTCCCTCCTTCTCTTTATCATGTCTGCTTTTGTTCCTACAAGCTATCCTGTCTTGAAATTTCCTGTTAAGTCACCCAGAAGAAAACCTCTTACACCTCTTCCTCTAGGTGTGTGCATTTGTAACAAACTCCTCGCACTCTGTCACCTTTATTCTCTCACTCCTACTCAATATACACATTCCCACCAGTGTGTTTTACCCTGCTTCCAGGCCATGTGGCCTTCCTTCTGTTGTCCTTCCTGGTTACCTCACCCGGCATTTCAGTCACTAGTCATTATTCAGATAAAGATCAAATCACAGTTGTAGCCTTGAACTGAGCCCTCATCATGCTAAAACAGGAGACACATTTAAACATGATACTGACCCTTAAGATTCTTAAAAGTTCATAAAATACTACAGCCTAAGCCTAACATGTATGTTAGCAACATCTGGAAAATCTTCTTTAAATCATAAGCATAATTAATATATTAAAATCTAAATTTCTGGTTTAAATACTAATCTATATCTGTTTTTTAAAGGATTAATTTAAATATTCCCAGTGAAGTTACTACTTATATTTAATATGAAATTACTTACGTTGTTCTTCTAAAGTCTTTCTGAAGTGTAGGGTATTCTGGCATCTTTCTAATATCTTCCCAATCTTTATCTTACAAAAAAATATCAAATATTGTTATAGAAAATAATGTTACTTCTATCAAAAATCTATTTTAGCTTAAAAATATACATAAAAATACTCAAAATATGCTTTTGAAAAGGAGTTATTTTGAAATATGACTCAAATATTATTTTGAAAAGAAAAATAAATTACCTGCAGGAAACCCCATGACACTAAATATCCGATCTAGTTGATCATGATGAAAGGGATTGCTTGTTTTTATATCTTCCTGACGACAGTGAAAAATAGGTTCTGAAGTCAACAATTCAGCAAATATGCAACCTATTGCCCATATATCTATGAAAGAAGAAGAATAAGTGTTTGCACACATTTATTATATTTCTTGGGTTATAACTCCTAGGTATAATCATAACCTACATGTAAAAATACTTTTCAGTGATGAAATATACAAAGTATGATAACTATATTAAGAAAACATATATATGACATGAAATAGCTGTATCATCATATAACAGATTGAAAGCCAAATAAAAAACATTTACTTGTAAATTTCCTAATGAAGATACACTTGGAAACTCAATTTAGCAAGCAAGGAATTTACATTTAGGCAAAGCCTTTCTAACCACTATTAACAATGTAGTCAGTGAAGCATTCAATTGAAAATCTAATACAGGGTATAAAATTCATGACCTGGTAGACTAAAACAATATCATCATCAGGTATATAGCGATTCATTCCTTTAAATCAATTACCTGCATAATGATAGAGCATAATTTCTGATTTAGGAGTCTAGACAACCAGGATAGACCATATAAAATGATTTACAAAAAACTTAACTTTTGTTTGAAAGACTACCAACTTCAGTTTTTCCAACAAATTGTAAGGTCTAGAAGCTAATAAATACAAGTATATATGGGTACAGCATGACACCAGGAGAGAAGTTATTTGAACATAATCACTTGGATTAAGCTGTTCCATTGCTTCAATATTCCAGGAGAAAGTTAGGCAATCTTTAAAAGTTTTACTAACCATTTCAAATCACCAGTTTTAGATTATTCTATTTGGATTTTACACATTGAAAAATTGTAATTTAGATTCTAAGACTATAATATTATATTTACAATGCTTTGCCAAATGTATAAGTGAATTTTTATAAGATATATATTCACACTTGCCCACTTAAATAAATGCTATGTCGTATTTTTTTTTTTTTAAATAATAATGCACAGACCACAGTATAGGATAGAAAAGCACAGTGTTTAGTACCCTACTAAATGTGGGAATCACATTCTGTAGACAAGCTAATTAAGAAAAAAGTCTAATTATAGCCATTAGCTAGAATTAACATTGGTATGTTATTTCATAAAACAAATTGCTAAATGAAAAAAAAAACCATAGTGTAATGTCTCACTCCATTCAGGAACAGTTTCCTTTCACGTAAGTTAGCCTTTTGGATAACGGAAACAAATCACTTCAACACCCATTTTTTATCACACCATTACCTGCCATCTTAAGAGGTTATAAAATATCATTTACTCTTTCTTAATGACTCAGAAGGGTCATCATCAGCATAAGCATCCATCATGAAAGAGTAGAGTAATAACTCTTCAGTGTCTACTATTAAATTCTTTTCTCTCTCCCACATCATGTTGTTGTCACTCTTGCCTCTGACAGAGCTGTCTCTGACAGTCCCATCTCTCTTCCTGCTGGCTGCCTCTACTATGCAGTCGGCTGGGACTAGTACTGCATGTTTCTGGTCATGCCAATTTCTGGTCTGCCTTCCATTTAAAGGACAGGAGCCAGGATCTAGACCTCCTGAGAACTGCTAAGAGAAGGAACCTCAGAGTAGCAGGTAATGTTAAATTTTAGGGTTTCTTGCCTCATATTAGCCTCTAATTTTAAATGGTCATCTGGTTCCTGTATCATCTATACCCATTTCTCAGCTCTCAGATCTCAAGACTGTTCCTCCCTCCTTCCTTCCCTCCCTTTACACACACACACACACACACACACACACACACACACACACACACACGCTGTCATTCCCCAGCCCCCCTAAATGTCACTCCATAAAACTTCACTGATATCAAATCACCGAACTCTTTTTTTTTATATGCTCTGAATAGAAATAATACTCATTTCTGACATGAACCAGCTATGGAGAAGAGTAAGAATAAGTGAATGGCTATGTATTTACTCTATGTATTTATGTCTGCTAGGAATGTATTTCAAGCCTGAAAATAACTTATTTGGGGAATATTCTTTCTCTGGGTCTTCTTTCTTAGTTTCTATCCAGAAGGGGTAACTGCAACCTAACTAAAATTGAAAATCAGCGATTATATTTTTATCTTTATCTGTAAGTTGTAAACTCATTTAAACTTAATTTCAGTTGTCCTTACCCTCAGGAAATAGGAAATATAGTGGATTTCTAATTCATACTCAGTTAGCTTTACTTCCCCCAAAGATATCTACTTTTATTTCAATGGTAGAACAGCTAATCAGAAAATATTCATAGAACTGTGCTTCTCAACGTCTGGGCTGTCAAAGTGTGTGGACCATGTGCAACAGAACCATTTAACGGCACGTACTACATATGGGACTTACTGCCACAGATTGGCTCTATCAGAATCTCTGACAGTGGGACAGGCTTTGGTGGGAAGTCACTTAGTTTAACAGAAGGTTTTGGCTGAATCTGCCTTTTCTTACTGGAAATCTCCCTTGTAGATCTAGACTGTGTAGAGCTTGGTAAGAGCCCAGCGCATGTGGATTTCTACTGTTAGCACATCCCCTACTTGCTGCCCTGCATTCTGGGTTATCTCATCATCAGTTCTGTGCTGAGGCACCAACCTGGTGCTGCTCAACTAACATGCCTCTTTCTCTGGCGTCTCTTCAGTCTCCTGCTATCCCCCGGTGCCTTCTGAGACTGTCTAAGAGACTTTACTGCTCTGGATTGAGAGATCTAAGAGAAAAAGCAAACGCAATTCTCAAAGTTTCAAAGACACAGCTCCTCAGTAAAAATCACTCACTGGAATGTAAGTAGAGTCAGGTTCTGATTTTAACCCCTCATTCTGAGAGCCCTCTATTCCTTCTGTCTGCTTGTGCAGTTCTGAATTTTTCACAGACAGCTGACCCTGTCCGTGGCTGAGAGCGTGGCCTTGGTAGCCTCTGAACGCAGCCTCAATGTGGGCTCAGCTGCTGGTGGAAGGGTCTAAGGTCGGTCTCAGACTCCTCTACTGTCAAACACTCATGGGATTTTTCACTAATTGAACAAAATCTTTCGGCAATATTTACAAAGTATTACAAGATTCCAGCCCCTTGCTAGCGTCGCCATCCCTGGACAAAGTATATATATGCTTGGCATCTCAGTTTTGCAGAAATCAGACCTGATGAATGAGGACATCACTATATTTTATTTTTTGTTTCTCCTTTTACCCACGTACAGGTTAGTTATCTATCGAATCTTTTCCAACATGGGAGCTTCCTTTGTAGTTCTTTGCATGTTACCAGGTTTTTCAGAAGTTTAACAGAGAAAGGTTTGTGCTCATCTGTTTTTAATAATTTCGTATTTTTGGTGCCTTTATTAAATAGAACTCAACAAATGCAGCTAAATGTAGTCAAAACTGGTATCAGTCTAATACCAGTAAACAGAAGATTCCACACAAGGAAAATTTCAAGAAATACACGCAGGAGATTTCGGCACCTCATAGAACTAGCCCATCATAGTGACAGTACTACCCACCTCCTCTCTTTTCACCTCATTTCGAGAAATCTCTAGGTTTGAGTACAGCTCCCTCTTCCTGACTCCCTCAATTCGTAGCTGGGCCCACTGAGGACACTGTAGTCATCAGGTAGCAAAACCCTTGTCTGTTCTGGAGCAGACTTGAAATCCTACAGAGAGTGTGTTTATAACAGGTTTTCTTACTCCATTTTTTCTCTTGGCAAAATGGCAAGAGGCTGAGCACAGCTAACCTACCCAGACTCTTATTTCCTCCTGTAATGGAGAAACTGCTACTCTGATCAGCTTCATGGCGGGAGAGAAAAATTAGTCACGTTACTTCTTGTTTAGGAAAGGACGGACGGACTGACTTTCCCCCAGTAGAAGGGCCTTTTGCCAACACCACACTATTCTTGTTTTCTGTTTTTCTTTTTGTGGAGAAAACAATTCTAGAAATCTCTCCAGTTCTTCTGATCAGTGGTAGGTAAGTGCAAAATAAAACTTGTATGTTATCATTTCCGTGGCAATTCAACAGGATCAGATAACTCTATTCTCTAAAAGAAAATGCTTTCTCCTTTTACAAGAACCATATTCTCCTACACGGTTAAAAATCCTAATCTACCAGAATATAAAATGCAGGAATACAGACGACAATAGGACTTTTACAAAGAGATATAAAGCGGTTTTTACAAAGCAGCTTCATAATTATGATACCATTTGGTATTTATGATAATTTGATGCTAAGATAGTAAATCATTTTAGACTAACTTACCAATGGCCTTTGTATAATGTCTTGCACCAAGCAGAAGTTCTGGAGCCCGATACCAAAACGTCACAACTACTGGATCCAAATCTGCTAGTGGCTTTAGAGGAGAATTGAATAATCTGGCAAAACCCATGTCCGCTAAAAAATGAAATAAGTTAATATAAAACTCAGTCTGGCATGCTACTAGAACCACGCAAGGTTGATGACAACAGCCACTATTGAAGACAATAACTTTATAAAGCAATCCTTTTATTCCTTTTCAACCAGGGGTCTGCCCCAGGCACCAGATCCCCACTTCTGAGTAGATATTATTATCGTGCCTATTTTACTGATAAAGAAACCGAGGCCTAAAGATATTCTGACTTGCCCAAGGCCACAGAGCTAGTAAATACAGAGTCATAATTAGAATCCAGGTCTGACTTCAGATCCCTGGCTTTCAGAAACATAATATTCTTAAATGTTTTTTTAAACTGAAACAGTCTCAAAATTTCCATGGTTAATTATGACCTCTGGACGCCTCTGCATCTAAACACTGACTACATCTGAGTGTGGCGTGAGCTGGAATTGGCTCGTGGATGCATGAGAGCCAGTTTGTACACATTTCTCCCCAACACTGAGTTGAGTGATGTCATGCGACTTGAAATTGGCTATCATGGGAATATTTACATCATAGAAAACAACAAACGCTACACGCTGGGGATTTTTTTCCACCCAGGGAGCCACTGTTGGATAATTACCAGCACATCATATACATGTTTCCAGGAAAATGTACACGATATGTACGAGGTAATTTGTTATAATTTGTTATAATTCAGGGTGTAACAAAGGTCTATGCCAAAGCTAACTGAGTTAAATATTAGAGGTATACACAAGTAGTAAAAAGAATATTTATTACTATAATAAGTTCCTGAGTGTCTGGCTGGCTCAGTCGGGAGAGCATGTGACTCTTGATCTTGGGGTTGTGAATTTGATCCCCAGGCTGGGTGTAGAGATTACTTAAAAATGAAATTAAAAAAAACAATCTACCATATAATAAGTCCTTGAGACTATCTAATTTTCTTAAGATTTAATAAATAACAAATACCTTTCATTTATCAAGTACTTCAGAATTACAGATGGTTTTCACATATATCATGTATCACTTCATCTAATCCTCATGCTGGTTTAATAAGTATTTTGTTCCCCACCTCTTAGAGATGAAGAATCTAAAGTCCAAAGCAGTTAAGTGACTTTCCCAAGGTCACAGAGATAGCAGTAAAAATGCTAGTATTCAAACAAACCATGTTATAACTTAGCAGCTATATTCTTAATCATTGATCTGACATCCAATAGATTATACGTATGACAATCACATATCACAGAGGTCAACTCACAAGAATGAAAAACCTCCGTAATTTGAAGTATGTAATGTACACAGTATATTTTGCAGTATATTTTGACTGTATAAGGGGTCCCAATGAACTATGTAATAGCACATTAAGGTTTAATGTACTATTTAATCATTTAATCTAAAACTGCATGCTATAACATACATTAAAATTTTAGTTTACAGCGATTTTGTTTCTTTAGAATTTGAATATTTTACAAGGCTTTCTGAGAATGCTTTGGAGAACACAGGTCATAAAAAATAAGGCCATCCAAGGAAGCCTGTGCTGATGCCTACTGTTTCCTAACTAAATTTCCCCCATAGCAAAGACATTCAAAATCTTTCTACCAATATTACGCCTACTTCAAAGCACTGCTTTATGTATTTAATACATGCTGATTGTTGCTGATGGCAAAGTAATGTGATGAAATGTTTCACCCATTGAAAAGTATGTTATTTTTAAGTAAAAGCTGAAGCCAGTATTTCTCCCTTTATTCCCTACCTTCTTAGTTTTATATAAGCCTCATCTATTCAGTGTCAGATGAAATCAAGTCCAAAGGACACCATAAACATTCTTAAAAATAATTCCTGTCTATTATTTGAACTTTAAAGGAGTTTCAAACCATTTCTCAAATAATCACCAATGTAGACAAAAGGTAACTAACCTAAAACTGTTCCATTCAACAGATTGCAGTGATAAAATTCTGGTGTGAGTGCTAATGAGACAGTATCAGATGATGAAGAAAAGCAGGAAAACCGTGGTGTCTACCACCAAGGAGCTGACATGAAGGTGAGGTGACAAAATACACAGAGTAGATAAAAACAGAAGTGCTGAAGACCAAAGGTGAGTTACCACTGGCTTCTACTAGACTCTAAGTCCTATGAGGGGAGGGCATGTATCTCCTTCATGGCTCTATGTGGCACACTGGTAAACATTTGTGGAAGTGGACCAAATTGAACATGGAACTTGAGCTGGATCCTCAAGGGTGAATCACTGAACGGTAAAAGGGGCAGGAAGCATTTCAGGTAAGACCTGAAGTCTTCAGGTTGCTGGGGAGGGGAAGGCTTAGGCACAGGGAAGGGCGCGATGCATTTCTCATTTGACTGTGCTTTTCTTTTCATTCAAAAAAGGACTGTGTGGGGCGCCTGGGTGGCTCAGTCGGTTGGGCGTCCGACTTCGGCTCAGGTCACGATCTCGCGGTCCGTGGGTTCGAGCCCCGCGTCAGGGCCCTGGGCTGATGGCTCAGAGCCTGGAGCCTGCTTCCGATTCTGTGTCTCCCTCTCTCTCTGCCCCTCCCCCGTTCATGCTCTGTCTCTCTCTGTCTCAAAAATAAATAAACGTTACAAAAAATAAAAAAATAAAAAAAAGGACTGTGTTAAAGTGTTAAGCACAGGCATCAGAGCATTAGTAAGTTTTAAAAAGTAATGTGCTATTACAACAAAAATTAAAAGCAATTTAATCAACTAAATTGTTTTCTAGACTGCTGGTATTACTTCTTGCTTACTTTTAACCTGACTGTATTCCTAATGGTGAACAGAATTACAATCCTAAAACTCTGAACAGTAGGGTAACCAACTGGCCTGGCTAGAATACAGAATTTCGGGTGAGGAGTACTAGAGATATCTGGGAGTAGTAAGAGAAAGACAGCGAGTGCGAGGGACCAGGATAGAGGGGATGACTGGTACAAACGAGGGGAGAGTACAAGATGACAATGATGAATTTGGTTTGAAACAACGGAGCAGGGGCGCCTGGGTGGCGCAGTCGGTTGAGCGTCCGTCTTCAGCCAGGTCACGATCTCGCGGTCCGTGAGTTCGAGCCCCGCGTCAGGCTCTGGGCTGATGGCTCAGAGCCTGGAGCCTGTTTCCGATTCTCTGTCTCCCTCTCTCTCTGACCCTCCCCCGTTCATGCTCTGTCTCTCCCTGTCCCAAAAATAAATAAACGTTGAAAAAAAAAATTAAAAAAAAAAAAAAATGAAACAATGGAGCAGAGGTTGCCAGCAGCACATCCAAATTAAGGTAAAGATTCTGGCTAGGGGGAGAGAAGAGAATGAGACTCAGATCTTAGAATGATTTTTACAGAATCCAAGATTTTTAGGCCACACTCATCAATTCCTTAAAGTAGCAATTGTAGAGGGAGGCCACGCCCTGGCCAGTGCAACACAAGGTTAATAGGAGTAAAAGCCAGTAATAAATAAAATGCAGAAGTAAGAGCAAAAGTGGTAAGTAGAAAAACAGAATTATGTGATGTCACGTAGACCAAGGAAAAAGACAGTCTCAAGGCCAGACTGGTCAGAAGAACAAATGACTAAGGCAATAAAGGAAAACCGTGACTAACTACAGGCCACTAGATCTGATGAGACAGAGGTCGTAGGTGACCTTTTTGGAGAGCAGTTTCGATAGAGGGACAGAATTAGAGGACAGATTAGGGTGACTGGAACCAGTGGGTGAACATCGTATGTTCTAGCAGTAGAGGAACAAGGAGGGGAAATTGAATGAATAGTAAAGAAAACAAAATGGATATGAGAAGATTTATTTTAGAATTGGAAAAGGATTATGAAGGTTTAAAGGTGAAGAGGAGAAACTGGGGAAGCAGAGAGTGGAGACACTGCGGTGTGAGAGTTTAAGTACAATGGGAAGCTATTTAGAAGCTGGGGGACCCCACATAGGTAGGACTCGGGAGGGGTCAGTCACTCTTTCTCTGAGACCGTTTCAAAGGCAGCGCTGTGCCAACAAAAAGTGGTCAGTGAGGGTACAGCAGACAGCTTTGATATGGCTGGGCAGCAACATTTGTAGGAAAAGAGACTTTGGACTTGAGAGGCTGAGTAAGCCACAACCTCTCTAAAGTCAGCTCTCCTTCTCTGGAACATCCACCTTACAGGGTGGTTGTATAAAGTGAGGGAACATATGAAAGCATTTATGACACTGGGTAGTAAACTAATTATTTCACTGTCTGTCACAGGGAGGGACTGCCCTTTACCACCCTTTCCCTTTCACCAATGTCTAGCAAAAAGTAGGTCCTCAAATGCCTATAAGGAAAAGAGTGCGAGCGTGAAACAGAAAAAAGTGAGGAGTGGTAGAGAGGGGTGGGGAGGGAAGCAAAACGGAAGGGGGGGGAAGGAAAGCAGCTACTTGGTTCTTAGTGACCATCAACAACATTTTTTATGACTCTGAATCTCAGTAAACTTAGTGTACAGGTTGAAAGAAAAGGAATTTGGTTTATAACCAACCAACCAAGGAGCACGCTTGGGTGTAGTAGGACAGAATGGATGTGCAATAGGTCAAGTTAGCACAATTCTGCATCACCCCTAGCATGACATATCCTAACAGCAAAGAAAGCAGGTTGATGAAACAAAATATTTATTTTAAAATCCTTCTGAAAACCATTGGAACATTTAATAAATGCAATTTCTATTACCAAAAAAAAAGTAGAATGAAGCATTTCTTCACCTCATTCTCTTCCCAAATACGTCAGAGGTATAAATGATGCCAATTTCTTCTAGAACGATCTTCAGGGTTGCAAAGGGAATCTTAATAAATGGGAAGGACGCCTGTGGGTGCCTTAATCTAAGACCACCACATAAGAGGGTTTATAAACATGTATATTTCATTTGGAAAAAATATGTTGGTACCTGGCACGGCCATGCAGGGGGCGGGGGCAAGGTATGTGGGAAGATGTGCGTGTGTTAGGTCAGGTGGGAGAGATGCCTTCAGGGAAAGAACACTGGTGAAGCCGAGACAAAAGCAAGACTTAGAAGATGACATTTAGGGCAGCTGTGCAGGAGAGCAACCATGGCATAAACACGTGCTTGGGTACTGTATGAGAATGAAATTTTTGTGGGCTTGCTTGCCTCAGCTTACTTGGGGAAGAAACCTGAGGCGTTTTATCAACTATCTACCTACACCTCCCGACATATTTTCTAAAAACATGACGAGGAAGTCATTTTCAAATTAACTGCTTAAATAAGAGTCTTAAAAAGGGGAAACCATCTTTGCAGTCACTTCAGTTTCTTGATAAATTATTTGAGAAATAATTACCTACCTATTTTGACTCTCCCCCTTTCAGGACCTTCTCCCATTACTAGGATATTTGCTGGTTTCTAGGAATAAAAATAGAGCATTCAAATTACTATGTTTATTCTTTTGACATGCTCTAAAATGGAGAAAAGTTCTTAAAATATGAAAATATCACTTCTGTATTTTCATCAAAACCATAATACAATATTAAATACCCTCTATATAGTTAAAGCATTTGACATACTTGAAGTTAGCACTAACCTTCTATAAACATCTTTGCTTTGAAAACATTTATTTTCAAAATTATACAAATAATTACAAAGAAGTTGAAGCTATCATTTCTGTTTACCCCACAGCAGTCACAAGTGATGTATTTTTTTTAAAAACCTACATATATTATAACTGTCCACTTGCTGCCCACAAGAAACAGTTTTTGTGGTTGAAAAGTGTTTTGTAAAATTTCAAACCACAGTATAATTACCTTCATTTAAATGCATTCAATGGAATATTCCTTGCTAAATATTTCTTAACTACTACAGGAAAACATGATCAACATTCAATAGACTCCATTCATATCCATATGCATTTCAGCTGTAGTTCATGCAAAAGTGCAAAATTCCAAATATAATTTCAAGATGTAGGAAAATAAAAATCAAGGCTAATACAGAACTGTATAAAGAAAAGAATAGATTGCAAATGTATCCATTGCTTTTAAGTCATCCTCATTTGTAGATATTTGGAAACAGAGAACTATGGAAATAGGCTTTTGGGCAAGTCAGTCTCCTCTGTAAACTAGCAAGAGAGAAAATTTCGGATTCATTTATTCAATCAATGAACATATTTTTGTGTCTTAGGGACAAAAAACATATTGACAATCAAGAGGAAAAACAAGCACATGATGAATTAAATCCCTAGCCTCCAGATGCTCTTTACATAAGTAGAAAGAAGAAAACAGAAGCTTTGTATAATATTAGAAGCTAATGCTATGTGTGAGTTATAGAAAGGACTGACGTCTTGGGTTAGAGGTTAAACCAGATTACTTTTAGATCCCTTCCAATTTGCTGGCTCTTTTTTAAGTTTCAATGAAAACAATTAGCACTAAAAAAAAAAAAAAAAAAAAAAAAAAAAAAAAAAGTTCAAAGGAGGAAGTGATAACTAGAATTTCCACTGTTGAGGGAAATGTTCATTGGAGGTGAGGCGAGGGTGGTGTCCATTATCCAGATCTTGAAAAATGACCAGGAACTGGCATGTCAGGGTAGAAGAAGGACAAGGGCAGTGGAGGAGGTGAAAAGGCTATGAACAAGGTAGGCTTAGGAGACAGTAACCCAGACAGAACTCTGGACAGAAACCAGAGGACCCATGTTGGGGGTAGCAAAATTAACCTAGACTCTGGATAGTCTTAAATGTCAGGTGAAGTAATCTGATCTTTAAATGGCAGGCTGTGAGATCCCAGGAGAGGGGGAGCTATCAGAACTAGGTATAAGATAATAAAGGCTTTGTCCAAGGCCTTCTAAGCTGAAATGGAGAGGGAGTTATGGAGCTGAGTAACATTTTAAAGGAGAAATTAACAGGACTTTGTGACTAGTTGAAGTCAGAAGACTAAGACAAAGGGTGATACAAATTTCAGCAAGGTTTTGAGTTTCTGCAACTAAAAGAATGATGGTGCCTTTATTGTGGAACAGTTATGAGAGGTACTTGTTAGGGAGGGGGAACAATGTGAGATCCCTAAGTCATACTATTCAGAAGAGGATTTGAAAATTATTGTCACTGGAGTATGATGACTGAAGACACAAGACAAAATTAGTTTATTGCAGCAGAAAGAGAAAATAGCATCGGTCGAAACCCAGAGCTTCAAGATTCAAGTTTGATAATGATTTATCAAAGATCCATTATAGATAAAACACTATACTGCAGACCTTCAGGAAATAAAGAGAAATAAAACATGAAGCTCAAGACTTCAAAGAGCTTCAAAAATCTAATAAGGAAAGAAAGACAAACTGCTTTTTAGAATACAAGGCAGGTTATGAAAAGTACCAAAAGAGCAAAAGAAAATGTCAGGAATGAATGATTCTTCTCAGTGAATATCAGGATAGACTTTAGGAAAAAGACTTTGGATGAATGAAGGATGACTAGGATTCTGATGGGCCTAAATGAAAGAATGACTTTTCAGGCTCTGAGAACTCTGTAAGTAAGGGCACAGTCACATAAAAATAGAGACGTGGCATACTGGGAGAACCTGCACTAGAGCACAGGATGCTGGAAAGGGGCACCTTAAGCGTCTGACTCTGGCTCAGGTCATGATCTCGCGGTCCGTGAGTTTGAGCCCCGCGTCGGGCTCTGTGCTGGCAGCTCAGAGCCTGGAGCCTGTTTCAGATTCTGTGTCTCCCTCTCTCTCTGACCCTCCCCCGTTCATGCTCTGTCTCTGTCTCTGTCTCAAAAATAAATAATTAAAAAAAAAATAAGACTGGAAACTACATTGGGAACAAAATGCCACATTAAAGAAACTGGAACTGATTCTATAGGCTAAGCCAAGACAGGACGGTGAGATAATCAGATTTATATTTAGGAAAAAAACTGGTAGCAATGTGAAGGCTGAATTGGAAAGGGTGGATGGATCACAAAGCAGAGACAGAAACCAATAGTCTAGGGAAAAGTAAGGGCACCCTAAATTGTGACAATGGTCATGGGAGAACATATAAGAGCATTTTAAGGTAAAAGTTCAAGACTTGGGATTGCTTTTTTATACCACCCTCTCCACCCTCCATAGTCATGCATTCAACAAATATTGATTAAGCATATTCTATGTATCAGGCTAGATGTTAGAGATGCAGCAGTAAAAATCCATCCAGGAAAAATCCTTGCCCTCATGGAGCTTACATTCTAGTGGGAACAGAAGGGCAATAAATAAACAAATGTACACTATATCAGATATTGGAAAAGAAACCAAGGAGAATACAAGAGATTTCCACATCTGATATTATGGCCGACTAGGTGCTCTAGGGGACCCTGACATTACAGAACCATATGCTGCATAAGAAACCTCCCTTAAAGGATTCCCTGATCTCACAAGAGGTCAGGGATTATCTACAACTCCAAGTGCCGGCCCAAATAATGTATCCTTGTGGCTAGAGACTAAAGGAAAGTCAGGATGGGCCTAAGAACAGATGCCAACAACACTTCAATGGGGATACTGAATCATGGGCCACCAGCAAAGTAAGAAAGCTGAGCCTGCGACCACAAAGTCAGCTAAGACTCTCAAATGGACTAAAATAAACCTAGATACTACCAGTAGAAGCAAAAGAAAACTCTCTCTGGAGGAAAAACTTCTTAATTTAGGCCTAAGGACTAAAACAAAACAGTTTCCTGCTAAAAGCAGATTATTTCCATTTTGAATTAGAAACAACATCTATTCCTACACTATTTATGAGAGATCCACCTAAGCACAAGGGCCATAAAACCTGAAATAAAAGGCTATTAAAAGGTGTATCAGGCAAACTTCTAAGAGTTAGATCAACTATTAGTAATGTCAGATGGAATAGCTTTTAAGATAAAAGCATTATTAGGAATACAGATGGTCACTATATAATGATACAAGGTTCAATTCACCAGGAAGAGGCAACATTCCTAAACTTGCCATGGACTTGAAATATATATAAGCAAAAGTTGATATAACTTCAGGGAGGGAAGAGAACAATGATAATGTTAAGATATAGACTATCCAGAAGACACAGTTAACAAGGTTCATCTAGTGGGCATATACACAACTTTTTATTCAATAATTAGAGAATACACATTTTTCTCAAAGACACATGGAACGTTTACAAATGTTGATCACATACTAGCAAGTCTCAAGAAATTTCAAGGAATTGTTATCAAACAGGCTATGTTCTCTGACTACAATGCAATGAAGTTAAAAGTCAATCACCAAAGTATAAACTTAAAACTCCATATATTTGGAAATTTAAAAATACTTCTATTGTGCGTGGCTCAGTCGGTTAAGCATCCGACTTCAGCTTGGGTCATGATCTCAGGGTTCACAGGTTCGAGCTCCGCATCGTGCTCTGTGCTGACAGCTCAGAGCCTTGAGCCTGCTTCGGATTCTGTGTCTCCCTCTCTCTCTGCCCCTCCCCCGCTCATGCTCTGTCTCTCTCTCTCTCTCTCTCTGTCAAAAATAAATAAACTAAAACAACAACAACAACAACTTCTATTGTGTGTCAACTATACTTCAATTAAAAAAAAGAAAGAAAAAAAGAAAAA